TTCTTCAGATGAAGAGTCATGTTCACCTGGTGTGAAATATAGCCCTATTATTCTGCCGGAGGGTGGGCTTCTTGGAAACCACGAGTCTACCTGGTCTCTCGACTCTTTTCGCCTCCATTACTGTCAACCAGCAAGGCTTGATGCATTATGGAGAACGTACCGAGAGAATGTGGCACCGTTGATTGTCATACTCCATCAACCCACTATGGCGAAGATAGTCCAAGACGCCTGTGCCGGTGTCGACTTGACCCCTTCGGATGAGGCATTACTATTCTCTGTGTGTTATGCCGCGGTGGCTAGCATGAAAGCGCACACCTGCCCTTCCATACTTAACACCGACCACGATACAGCCACCGAAGACTTCAAAAAAGCAGTAAGTTGGGGGCTTCGCCGAGCAAACTTCATCAGTTCTCAGAGCCTGTCTGCTCTGCAAGCGGCCGTTCTCTTCTTGCTATGTTATCGAGTCGGTGGTGATACACGCCTTGTATGGGCTGAGTCTGCCGTCGTGATACGAGTTGCACAAGCACAAGGTGTCCACCGCGATGGGCAGAATTTTGCATTACCACCCTTAGAAACAGAGCTGCGCCGTCGCTTATGGTGGCATATCTGCCTGCTGGACATGTTGTCTTCAGAAGATCAAGGGGTTGATACTCAGATTAGATCTGAAATGTTTGACACGCAATTCCCGAGCAATGTCGACGATGACGATATTGCCTTAGATATGAAGGATCAGCCACTACCGAAGACCGGTTTTACAAACACCACTATTTGCATCATGAATTGCCAGGTCATGAACGAAATGCTCTGGCCCCGTCAGGGTGGATACTCCGATATGTCCACACACGCCCGTGAGAATCTCATCACAGCTCTAGGGAAGAACCTTCATGAACAGTATATCGATCATTTTAACCTGGACATCCCAATCCATTGGGTGATCGCAACTATCGTGCGACTTCAGCTCTCCAAGGCGTGGCTGGCGACTCATTTCCAATCCGAAGAATCGGACGCGCAGACCTTCCGCCACGATGACCGTATCTTCGAGACCGCTGTCGAGCTGGTGCAGTTCTCCTATCTCCTGCAAACCAATGAAGGCACCTCGCAGTGGAGCTGGCTATGTAAAAGCTACAAGGAATGGCATGTGGTCGCTTTTATACTTTCCGAGCTGTGCTTGCGTCCACTCAGTCCCGAGACTGACCATGCTTGGGATGTTGTGAACAAAATGTATGGGTTATGGCAGCAAGATATGCCGCAAACTGATGCTATGCTTCAGAAGCCCTTGGATCGGCTCATGGCCCGCACGGCCTTATCACGAGCCGGTAGACAAGGGCAGGATAGCCAGACACCATTCAGTGGAGAGACGTTGTCTGATATGTCCGATGTATCTTTTGGATTGGGTGGTGATCTCGATTCTGATTTACTGTTCTCTGGTCTAGACTGGCTTGCTGGGTCTTTATTTTAGGCCATAATTCTTTCTGCGTGGATAAGTAAAGAGGTGATATTTATATCAACCCATTAATTCCATAATAACTAAGTTTGAGGCCGAAAATGACCACCTTGAGGCCAGCAACGGCCGCCTTTCCACCTGTAAACTTGGAATACCTCCTGTCCTGATATTGATGGTGTAAATATATAAATGTACTTAACTCACTACCGGGAACAGGTCTTTCTCTCTAAACTTACCAGAAACAATATGTCGGCATAAACACAGGGTCGATAACTATGGCTTTATGGTGTGCAGTGCCGCTCCTCGCTTCAATTATCCTCTTTTGTTGGATGAGTGCTGTGTGCGGCCAATCTTAGCTAGCGCGGTGCCGATAAGACCAACTACTTCACACTCTGAATCAAGGGGGATGGTCGGTTATGTGAACGTTCTCGACGGTGATTTGTCCTTGAAGAGCAGCGAGAGGAAGATGGAGAATACTACCTTGGATTGGTACGGGTTCACCTGGATTCTTTGTTTACCTTCTGTGACAATTGTGAAATTTTGATGGCTGAGCAGGACTGGGGCTCATGCGGTATGGATGACCCCGATGCGGTGTCTTAGTTTGATAGCCGCTCATTTGAGATTGAGATGAAGCAAATGTTTCTGTCTACTGAAGCTCGAAGACTGGAGAGGACAGTTAGTATCACTGAGCTTTAGTACAAAGTAACTAGTAATTGATATTAAGATAGGTGGAATCGAGATGGACAAAATGAATTCATTGTCATATATAGTACAAGGAACAACCTTCAACCCTAACGTGTCTCAAATTGGCTATCCTCCTTCAACCAATCCTCAAATGTCTTCAAGCCAGGATTCAACTTTTTCAAAGCCGGAATATCGGCACCATATCCCTCATCGTGGAACCATTGGAACATCACACCCAGCTCCTTAACAGCTGCCATCATCAACCATACTGGAATCCAATAAGTGGTCGGTACATTCTTGCCAGTCAATTTCTTGAAGGACTCTGACATCTGATCAAACGTCAATTCATCCCCAGCAAGCGAGAAAGCATGATTCTTCGATGCCTCGGGGTTCATAAATGCCGCCGCAGCAAAGAATCCAATGTCACTCGTCGCGACTAATTGCAGCGGCTTGCCCTTTAGAGACATCTGCCACGCAGTCGTAAACACCTTTCCGAAGTAATCCGGCGTGAGGTTCTCGAAGAAGGCAACGGGTCGGAGAATCGTCCATTCCATATCGGTTCCTTTTGCTTTCTTTTTGAGATGCTTCTCGATCTCGTGTTTGAAAATGAAATGTGGGACTTGGGTTGGATTTTGATCAGATCTCTCACCGCCACGGTCGACGGAGCTGTATACGAAGTACTTGACGTCTTGTTTGATGGACTCGTCTATCAGGGCGATTCCTTGGCGTCTTTCGTCGTCGTTTCTGGGATTGGCGGTCTGTTGTATTGGTCAATCGAGGATCAATATTTGATATCATTTTTCTGAGGACTTACCTGAACGCTGAACACGCCCCAAACTGGTGTTGAGATTTGACGCTTTACATTCTCGAAGATGGCAGCCGGGTCGTCGAGGTTGCCTTGGATCAATGTGATATTGGGAGACTTCTGAGCGAGTTTCTTTGCTGCAGCGGAATTGACATCGCGAGTGACGGCGAGGATCTTGAAAGAGGCACTTTTCTCCAGAAGATTCTTAACCACGGAGCCTCCTTGTTTGCCTGTGGCTCCGGTGATGAGAACTGTGGTCATCGTATGAGGATTTTAAGTATATAGAGTAGTCTTTGGGGGTGTTAGGGGTGGTATAATGTGATAAATGATGAATGATAAGCAGGATATCCTTTTTAAATAGTCGGGTTCAAGTCCATTCCAGATGATTTCTAAGAGGTTCAGTGCCTCGGGATGAGTCTCAACCCCGGATTTGACATGGATGACGTCACCTACCATCTCAGAGTCATATCCAAGTCATATCGAAGGGTTCGAAGACAGAAGATAGGAGACATAAAATATAGATGTCACGTCGTATTATTCACGGCAATAATACTCATCCCCCTATGAACTTCTGTATTGGCAGCATGTAAAAACTCCCTTACCGTCATATCCAGCCCTTCTTCTCCCAACAAATCTCCCTCCAATTCACCTCGCAATAATGGACCATTCATGCCTCCATTCAACTCCCAAACTTTTCCATCTTTCTTAACAAACGCAATAAAGTGAAACCCACATTCCTCCTGCGGCAAGGGCACAATTGAGCACCCTTCCGATGCCGCATCCATATGCGCCTCTTCCAAAAACCTCGAATCGTACAAGAGTTGCGCCCTCTCCACCGGCCCCAACCCAACTGCGCTCTTCACAATCTTCTCCAACTCCGATCCCGCCAGGACGTATTTCCCATTCTCCAAATTGACAACCACATGTAGCAATGCCATCAGTCCACACGCATGTCCGATCGTCTGTTTCATCCACAGCACGGGCTCGTCGGCCCCGCTGCCGAGATACTCGGGTATGCTGTGTTCGACGCGAGACCGCGCGGCGAGGTAGATGGGCTTGTCGCAGAGGAGGATGAGGGCGTTTACGGGTCGTGGGATCCAGGAGAGCATTTCTGGGGTGGTGGAGAGAATATCATGAAAGGTGAGACTCGGGGATACTCCGAGATTCTTACATAGATGCTTGTGGACCTCTGGGTTGTTCTCTGTTGCATTGGTGAGATTGGTTCTAGTCTGGTCTTGTACCTGGGGGGTGAAGAGGGGGGGAGGGGAATGGTGCTTACCTAGTGGTATAAAGGTCTTTTGGCCGTTGATGACCTGCACGCCTAGGTTAAACATGTTTGGAGACGAGGAGACTGGTTCTCTTATTCATTTGGACACTTTGAAGATCGTATGTTTTGGTATAGGCGGGGGAGGGGAGGAAACATTGCTTAGTCATTATCCACCTTCAACCTATTTAGGAACATTCAACGTCCACTATAAGATAATTGTATTTTGGGGGGAATGTTGGTGAGATATCTGTTTATTTTGAGAATACGGAGTAGGTGTATCTAGGATGGTATATCAAGTGGTATTTGATATATTCCGAGAGTATTAGAGTGTGATCTCCCGTACTTTTGGCAATGTAGCATCTAATGTACTCCACCCGACCCGGACCTTGGCCCTCGGATATATCAATTTCTAGCGCTAAGCCTAATTAAGGTGTATAGTTATAGTTATATAGTTATAACTATTTGGTATACCTAGGTAGTTATCGCTTGTGAAATACGTTAACCAGTACGGAAAGGGCTGACCTATGGTCAAGTAATTATGTCGTAGCCAGGGGGCCTTGGTCATGTGACCAAGCCCCTCTCTTCAGCCTCAGGTACGGAGTAGTAGAATACATCATCTTTCCCCATCCCATAGCTTGTACTATCAGCAGTCAGCATAATGGCAATTCCGATGGCATCTCCAATTCGCCTGTCCCCACACGTTCAGTGTATCCAAAAAAAGCTCACCCTACACCAACATATATGATAATGCGCCTGTTAGTCCGCTTCGCGCACGAGAAAACACCCAACACTTACGGGATATGCTCCCCCATTCCCACCCAGAACAGAAACGCTGGGAAAGTCCCGGCGGCTGGGGTGCACGTCACATGAATGACATGGCGCCGTTCACGCTTTGGGACGAGCAAAACCACAAGTTCCGCTATCCCTCACGTCAGGACTGGACCTGGATCCGTAGTAAGTTCGGGGAGGGAACAGTGCACATCTCCGGGTAGCTTATTTGTATGGAGACGGCCTCCACCCCACAACCAATACCACTGACCCTTGGAACGATGCCTGTCATATTCGTGCGCCCCGGTGAGATGTTTAGGGAACCAATCCCCTCATCTGGGTATTCGAATCATCGTATTCCCGATCCCTGTCCCACTGTTCGATGGTCCAAATTAACCAATCCGACTAAGTGTCAAACAGTTGCTGTTCTTACTGCCATCGCGCCACTTGCTCGTGTGAGAGCCGCTATTTTTCTCCCTGCTTGGACTATCTTCGAACTTGAGTTTGGAGATGGCCGGAGCTACGAAAAGCAATCCCTTCCCGGGGTCGTGGCAGGCCGAACAGCACTCTACCACCATGGATATGAACCGTTTTCGATCACCATGAGAAGCCTTACCCCCCCCCTCCCTCGCTTTATTGGCCCATCCCTAGTATCAGCTGCTGGTACTGCACCACAAGATGACTAAAACTACCTTCAGCGGTTGGCTCTTACACCAGGGTGTAGAATCGAGAGTGGTTTGGGGCTATCGGGTGCTCCAGCCGAATTCACAAACGCTGCAACCACGTGTGGTATCAAAATTCGGAATCTTGCGGGCGAAGAGATGCTGACAGTCGCCAATCATGATTTTCTCTCATCAAAGGAAGTATACCACCCATTTGTGAATGGAGATCTTGTCGGCGACATCATCGATACCCGGCCTGAGCTTGACATCGCTCTCGTCAAGCTAACACCCGCTGCCTCATCTAGCTTCACTAATTCCTGCTACTTTCAAGCCGAACCACCTACTCGCCTCCTAGAAATGTCCCAAATCTCCCAAGGCTCATGGAGTGAAGTGGATGGCGTGAGTTCAGGGCTCTTTAGCATGATGAATATCGGCATCCAAACCATGCAACCGAAACGTCCAGCCGGTCATCCCGAAATCGAATTTTCAGAATGGGATACCAGATCGGTGGATCTCCTTTTTGGAAATGTTACTATGGCTATCTCTGATGGTGTGTGCGGCGCCCCAATCGTAGACGCTGAATCAGGTGGGGTGTCCCGCTTTTTCCATCTGAGTGATGGGGTCTTTTCTTATAGTGCTGTCCTTGATGATCTGGTGGCTGAGGGATGGGTAGTAGTGTGAATGTGGAGTCCTGAGCTATTATCGCCGGATGCCATAGCATCTTCGCCGAGACTTGCCACTGGCTCTATTTTGTCTACCTTTTACACCCCTTTACGAGTTTTCATGTATTATTAGCTGTTGGTGATCTGGAGAATACCGCAAAGAATGCAGTTTTACTGACGAAGCCCATGATGAATGAAGTTACGATAGGGAATGAAGAAAGGAGGGAGCAAGACTGTTCAGATGGATTCTGTGCCTTCTAGTCTTGCGTCATGCTTGAGTGCGCTAGCTACATATGTACTAATTTAGGGTTGTTCTATATTAGAATATCTTTAAAGGAACGGATTTATATTGTTATCATCTACGGAGTAAATAGCCCATAACCCCACCTGAGCATATCTCTAGGCCTCTTCCATATCTCTTCCATATCGCCTATCGCCTATCGGCGGATAAAAAACTTCCCCTCATCTCCCCTCATCTTCCTCCAACACCTCTCTCACACACATCCTCATAATGGCTACCCTCACAGCCCAGGAGCTAACGGCTCTTTCCACCAAGGCCATTGACGCCAAAGCAACTGCCTACTGTATGACCCTTTCCATTTCCTTGGGAGTAGCACAAACACCAGATATCCAGTTCCCAGTACAAAGAAACGAACAACTAATGTGCTGCCAGGCCCATACTCCAAATTCCGTGTCGGGGCATGCATCCTCACGACATCTGGCGAGTTCATCTCCGGCGCTAATGTCGAAAATGCTGCGTATCCAGTTGGAACCTGCGCTGAGCGCGTGGCCATTGGCACTGCTGTTGTATGTTCTATCTTGTCTTTCCTGAACTACTTTGATTGGCTCTCTATCATTGTCATTGTTATATTATACCCGACCAGGTTTGGACCTTTGTTAACTCTCTCAGGTCGCCGGCCACAAAAATTTCAAGGCTTTGGCTGTCGCGACAGATATCAAGCCTCCTGCGTCGCCTTGTGGGATGTGTAGACAATTGTGGGTTCCCTTTCCCTTTCCCTTTCTCTTTCTCTTTCTCTTTTCTCCTTTTGTGGCTAACTCATTGGGATATAGCATTCGCGAGTTCACCTCGCCTTCCTTCCCAGTGTACATGTACGATGGGGAGGGAAACTACAAGGTTATGACTATGGAGGAGGTAAGTTTCTTTTCTTTCCTTTTTGGATATATTTTCTTTATATCGCTTCGATCCTGTGCTAATAAACCCAGTTGCTGCCCGACTCTTTCGGCCCCGAGCATCTTAAATAGGGATAGAGATAGGCTTATCTGCATCAGAGAAAGGAGAGAGAGGGTGGGAGTACTGGACATGTGCATTGAAAGGAGTCTGATATCCAGTGGGGATAAATCATTTACAGTCTGTTCGAGGAAATATATTAAGAGGTAATTTTGCTTTGTTCACTGGGAGATATATAGCCCACAGCCTTAAAGCCTCTACATATAAAAGCCAAGGGCAACAACCACAACAACATCGTACACAACCCGAAATCAAACCCAGAAAGAAATATAAAAAAATGGCACGCTCATAATGTTGCAAGAGTCACACCCCAAAAAGATCATTTCCAACTGGAAATCACAAAAAAAAAAAGGCAGCTATATCAAAAATTCCATACGAAAAACCATAACCCTAATTCTCAACCCCAAGCCTAAGCCTGCTCCTCCTCATCATCAAAATCATCAGCTCCAAGCAACTCATCCTCATCATCCACAACGGCAGAATAATCTCCCCTCCTGGCTGCAAAAGAGCCACGCGTAGCATAAGGTCTCTGCGCGCCCCGTCTTCCAAATAATCCAGACGTGCTCCGCGCCAGACTCTTAACAAGTAACGGCAGAGACTGCGCAACGGCAACAATACCCGCAATAATCGCCACCGGCACCGCGACCAGCACCGAGTCCCTGGATAGCCAGCTCTGCGACGAGCCACCTGTATCGCCCAGCCGGATCTGGCCGAATTTGCCGTCCCAGTGCGTGTACACGTACCAGCCGATGGCGATGGCGACGGCGATGGGTGTCACGATCGCGAAGAATAGACCGGTTCCGCTGATGCCGTGCTTCTTTTGGTATTCTTCTTCTTTGTTCGGGCATGGCCTTGACACGTCTTGATCCAGGAGGAGGCCGCCCTGGCAGGTTGTTTGTGGGATTCGACGGTAGCCGGTGGGTTCCCAGTATTCGACCTTTTCGGGGTCTTGGCTACATTGTGCGATGTGGTCTTGAGGTTGGAGGCCTGGCACTAGGCCACAGCTGCCGTCGGTTTGAATTTCGTAGTTGTAGTCACTGGTTCGTGTTAGTTGATAATTCAGATCGAGATAGGTGGGTGATTGTTTTGCTTACCATTCGAAATCAGCACGGGTGCAAGTGCAATTCCGGCCAATGCTGTGGATGTGTGGCTCACGCCAGGCATTCCAGCACTCAGCGGTAGGTTTCTTGCGGTGGTACTCCTCGACATGGCCGAAGAGACAGTTCTCTTCTTGGAAGGGATGACTGGGGGACCAGTTATAGTAGTCGTTCTCATCGTCATTACAGTCGCGGCTCCAAATACCGCTGAAGTCAAGTGTGATGGTGACGCGCTTGCCCCCGTCCGTGCCCCAGAGCAGGAAGTTTTTAGATGTATCTGATGGCACGGTCGAGATATCGTCGATGACCATTTCCTTTTCGGCGAACTGGAACTCGTGCCAGCTCGTGCCCTCGTCGAGCGTGTAGTGAACGACCTTGGTTGCCTTCCGGTCGCTGACAAGCACGATTACCGAGCCTGCCGCGCCGAATTCCCACATGTACTGTCCCTTCTTGACTTGCGTCCAGGTAATACCACCGTCCCTGGTGAGGTACGTGTCGGCCTCGGCTGCGCTGGTGAGATGCTCACCGACGTTGCCGAGCGCGAGCATCAGGCCAATAGCGGAGCCCGAGTAGAGGGTGTCGCGGTAATCCCGGCGTTCGGTGTAGCCGTGGAAATGGAGAGCGCACTTCTCAGTGCCTCTGCTCTCCGTAACGGAGCAGCTGAACTTCTTGCCATCGACATCTTGGCTTGGGGGAGCCAGAAGCATCCACTGACCACCGTCATTATGGGTGATCATAGTGCGTAGCTTCTTGGCCGCGCCCTTGTTTAGCACCTCTTCCCGGTTCGCAACCACATTGGCAATGGCCACACCCTCGAGGCCTTGCAACTCATCGTAGTCCGTGTAGCCGCGGTCGTTGACGTTGAGCCCCTCCAGACTCTGGACAAAGTAGGTGCCGTTGCTGTTACTCTTGACCAGGGAGCCGAAGCTGCGCTCATCCCCACCATTCACCATCACAAGGAGGAATAATGCGTGCGGGGAGCTAGGTAGGACGGTATACTGAGGGACCTTAATGTTGAAAGGGAAGTGTGCATCAGCGTAAGTGCGGCCGTCAACGCTAACACTGGCATTTAGGTATTCCTTCTGCTCTCCTTCGTACCAGGCGACGACAACGAAACCATTCTTGGTAGCGGAACGAGCGATGTTCTCAAAATTCACTTCCATGGTAGAGAAATGATCATCACTGGTGACCAACTGCCGGTTGTTGTTCTTTTCCTCATCTTTATACTGCTCGCAAATCACCAGTTTTTCGCTGTTGTTGCGGCCCTCGTGATATCCGAAGTTACAACCGCCGCCGGCGATTCCAATAAGCATCGGGTCCCAGCTAGCGCCTCGCTTGTCGGTGACGTATGCCTGCGAGCGACAGTTTGTCCCTTCGCAGTCCTTGTGACCAATCCAAATAAGGGTGTCCTGGAACTTCTCATGGAAAGCGAGCGCACGGATGTCCTCCTTGGTCGGTACACTGGGGGCTTCAAAGAAGTGGAAAGAATCACCGTGGTTAATAGTGTAGTACACCCTCTTACTGTCGGTGAGGAAGAAAGCCGCATCACTAAAGTAAGGATGCTGGACCATTTCCGTAAACTTCTCATCCGGATGGATTTGCTTCCAATTGCGGCCATGGTCGCGTGAGATATGTAGCTCGTATTTGTCCGTGAGCATCATGACGGTCTCATCAACGCCGTTGTTACTGGCCTGACGTTCGAGATAGAAGTAGCTTGTATGCTTAGCAGAAATGGTCTGTGGCTTCTCCGCACGAGGCTTGCCATCGGTGATTGGAGGAGGCCCCGTGACATTCGAGCACGAGCGCTCAATCTGGCGCTCGAGATCCTCGCCGCCTTCGCGAATGCATGCATTGCCGGGGATGAGTCGCCATCCAGAGGGGCCCATGTACTTATCGCTGGGCTCATTGCACTTGCCAGGCGGCGGTGTCAGCGGGACAGCTGGTAGACACTCTTTACGATCCTCGCTGCGAATAAAGTTGTAGTCGCATTCAAAGTCTTCAGCGGAACACTTGCAGGGTTGGAATTCAGGGCCGCTGATAGCGAACTCCTTCTTGATGAAACAATCCGCGTTTGCCTTGCGGCGCTGGAAGAACTGTTTCTGACCCATCAGACAATCCGGCTCGCCCTTTTCATTTAAACGGGCAGTCCACTTTTCAAGGTCATCAGAGCCACACTGGCGCTCGTGGAGGCCATCGAAGTCAATGAAATACATGAGGACTTTGGCGTCATCGCTGGAGATACCAACCAGCAGGAACTTGAGACTGGTCGAATCCGGCGTCGAGATCAGATACAGAGGCTTAATCTTCTGCTTCAGATCAATCGACTCCCACTCTTTCCCGTGATCGATAGAAAATTGGACTTTGTCCGTCTGGCTGCCATCCAAGACAGCCATAATTACACCTCCCTGGTCGCCAAACTCGTACCTGTGCGGGCCCTTGAGCGCGCGCCGCCACGTAAGGCCTGCGTCGTCGGAAACATAGAGATCACCCTTGGAGTAGTCCTCAAGGTGACCACCAGTGTTACCAACACCCATGGCCAAGCCTGGAGCCGGGCTTGAGAACATCCGGTGATCTGGCATGGGCATCTCGCGCAGCGCGGCGTAGGTGGTCATCGAATGGAGATGTAGGTCATCTTTATCCGCCTTGAGGGGTTGGAAGGTTCTCCCATCGTCA